TTCTATGGTTGCCATGAGCCTCCTTTTGTAGATCAAGGGGACATCACAGTGGCAAATCAGTAATTACGCACTGATTAGATAGCAAATACGCCGCTATCATACCTATCTCTACAGGCTGACAGAGCGCATTAAATACGCCGCTCAATGTCACGTCATAGCTTGCCCGGGAGGCTCTGCCGGGCCGTTTCGCCAGCTTGGCGCCTGCTTGCTCGACACGTCGCAAGACGGATGTCGCTTGTAGGTATTTTCTGTAGGAGGTGGCCTCCATGTGGCATATAGCAGCCACTTAGTCACCTTGGAGCTGGACACAACACGGATCGACGACGTACGTCGTGGTGAGGTGGTGTAGCGAAGTGGCTTGCCTTCACTAGTGCCGGCAGGCCTGCCGGGTGCTTCTGGGGGTAACCTTGTCTTTGCTAGGCTCGCCTGCCTGGCAAGGGAGTTTTTTTTTCCTTAATAGTATCTTGCCCTTCTGGCTAATCTTGGTCATCTTGTCTGTGCTTGGATCCTTCAAGGAAATAGATCCATCTTGCTTTAGTTGATCATGGCGTTGTGAACTTGTCCTAGTGCCCGTGCATAGTCTGGGCAACGGACTTAGGGTTTGTTGCACCGACAGAAGCCCCCGGGCCTGCCACGAACGTGATGCCGGGCATCGTCGGGGTAGGCCCTAATTAGTGCACAGGCAAGAGTGCAGAGGCGGCTTAGTCCTTTGAGATCTTCTTTGCTTCTTCATTATCTTGAGCCCAGGCCAATTTCCAGTTTTCCGTACGTCGTGCTGAACGTTATGGAGAAAACTAGATCGTGGCCCGCGGAATGCCCACGCCACACGATCACGGGGCGAAAAACTGTCACCCACTTTTCTTTCGCCATTTGGGATGCTTGCCACGTGCCCCGCTTGCATTGCGTTGGGTAGGTGGTGGATGCGGAGAGCGCGGAAATGGGTGCCATGGCAAAAGACCGGGCACCACTTATTGGCGCAGAAGGTCGGCTCCGATTCCCTGGGCCATTGCAGGCGCAGGGAAGTTGTATTGGATGAGCGGGCCGGTTGCCTTCTGAATGAAAGGCCAACCCCCGGCCTCGCTTCGCTAAAAAAGGAGATAGGATTGGTGGTCTTGTTCACACACCTTCCATCTTCCTTTCTTCGAATTATTCTTTCTTCGTCATGACAAGAGGGCGAGGGCGCGGTGGTGCCCTCGTGACAGCAGCGAGAGCCACTACTCGACAGCGTCTTCCTTCTCCTTCTGAGAGTGCTGGGATGGAACCCGCTATGAGAAGAGGAGGGAGGGGGCGAGGCCGAGGCCGTTGGGGCGCCCGGGGAGGAGGAGGACGAGGTGGTGCCCAGACAGTGCCTCTGCCAGATGCCCCTCCTCCACTGGAAGGCCACGTCAGAGACCAGCCTCTGTAATTCGTCCTCAGGATGTACAAGCCCCCGCACGTCCGCCTCCGCCATCCCACCCGATTCGCAAGGGCGATGGAGCTCGAGCAGCCGCGGTCATTGAGACTGCACATGAGGGGCTACCGGAATAGTAGCATACAAATGGATGTAGATTTCCCGGCCCCTCATGTCATGTACTTCCGCCGAGGCTGGAAGACTTTTGCCCGTGACCACAACTTGTCGAAAGGGCACATCCTCCTCTTTAACTAAATGGAGGACGGTTTCGTTTCCGTCAAGGTGCTTGGGAGCTCGGGTGCTTGCTTAGGGTGCTGCGCGGAGAGCTCGACCGACGAAGAAAGCTCCTCCTCGAGCGACATCGACGAGGAGGACAGTGACGGCGGTGACGACATCGGAGACAACAAATCCGACTCCGGCTGAACACCACCCGCACCATCTCCATCACGTGGCAGCACCATCATCTGCACCTGCATTTTCTCCCCTGCAAGGTGATTGCCGGGAAGTTGGACGTGGAGGTGGTGATGCTATTCCCCGGCTCCTTCCAGCCGGATCCCGGCAGGCTTCCTCTCATGCTACAGCTTTGTTCGTCCTGTCGGGCCCTGCTGGCCCTGGTGGCGGTGGTAGGGAGGTCGTCTCCTCCATGCTCTCCATCGTCGCCTTCGTTGGTACCCTCCCCCGCCAGGCTACCTCTCCTGGAGCCCCAGCCTGGGCTGAATGGACTATCCTGGAAAAATTTGCATCAGTGTTTGGGACTCTGATTGATGTGGATTGGCTTGGAAACATCAAGTCCTTCTTTGAAACGGTCAGAAACAAGATCAGATGTAAAGACCATACAGAAATCCACCCTGATAGACTATTTGGAATTGGGACCACCTTATCTGGATAAAAAATACCGAGGAACCACCTATGGAGGAGGCCGACATAGAGGAACCCATAGATGAGGATCTAGAGGACAACAACACTGAAGCTAACCTAGACAAGAACAAAAAGGATGAGGGAAAAACCACCAGGTAAAAAGGGACAACTGTGACAGCATCATCACACTCCTTGCAAAGAAGCAAATCTACTAGTGACAATTCAAACCAAAGCTCTAAATAGTAGGTGCTCAATTACCTGCAATAGCTGCAAGAGCACATCATCATAGGGCAAAGCTACAATCTCCTTCAAGAAATGCAAATGATGCATGATGAGGACGAGATAGTCTCTGTGGAGGAAAACATAGCTGAGGAAGAGGAGGTGATTTTCGGCCAAATAATCCGACGCCACCACTATTTGAAAAAAAAGTAGTGCTAGCATGGGTTGAAAATGGCGCGCCACAACGAAAATTGTGGCTAACACTTTTTCCACTAGTGATATCGGTATCCTCTTGAGTCATTCTGATGCTCACTATACCGGTGTCAACATTACTGGTTTGTTCTTCTTTCTCGTTGACATGTTCCGGCACCTCCGTGACCTAGTCACATGTGTCTGGCCAGACTATGATGGATGTCGCCATACTGAGAGGGCCCTAAGAATATCTCTCCATCGTCAGAGGAACAAATCCCAATCTTGAACTATCTAGCCCCTTGTCATACTTTCCGATGACCTGGAAGTTGTTGTTATGATCACCGTGTTACACGGAGGACGTTTGAGCAACCCCAGAGTCCATTGTCCGGTAAGAAGTGATTACGGTACTATCATGGTCTAAGGAACTAAATCATACATTAACTTTCCATGTTATATTGATTGACTTGTGACAATTGCATCTCAAAGTATAACAAACAAGTTGGGTCAATTTAATATGATTGTTCTTTTAACATCATACTCTCCATATTGTTTGCGACTATCGTTACACTTAATGATATCTCAAAATTCAAAAAACATGATAAAAATACAACCCTTGAACTAGTCCTACAGGTGAGACTGGGAATCAGATATTAGCGTATATCATTCCACGCGTGCTAATGAGTTTTTCCGCTGAATCGCATAACTGTTATAGCAATATAAACTCTTAATTATAAAAGTAGAAATAAATAATACAACATTATTGCATCTAGGACATATTTTCAACAGTATTAGTAACACCCTACGAATTTACCTATACACTACAAACAGTCCAAGTTTCGCATAGGCGCACCTGACTTGGGCTGGCACAGTGGAAATGAGGCTACTTCCTCCGTAAACTAATATAAGAGCGTTTAGATCACTACTCCCTCCGTCCGAGAATACATGTCATCAAAATAGATAAAAGGAGATGTTTCTAGAACTAAAATATGCCTAGATACATCCACTTTTATTCATTTTGATGACAAGTATTTCCGGACGGATGGAGTATTTTAGTATTCTAAATGCACATATATTAGTGGTCGTGTGAGCCCCTTGGGAGTTTCTATTCCATGTGGAAACCGTAGATTTTCTGCTATAACTCTCACACGGACCAACACATGTAGCTCTCGCTTAGCTAGCTTGGTTAGCTTTTTTTTCCCGCTAGCTCCACTATTAGCTCAGGAAAAAAAGCGGGCTATCTATTTATTTGAAATATTTGTTAAATCAAAAGGTGAACATGGATTTTTAAAAAATGTAGCGAATTAAATAAAATCTTAATTTCCAAAAAATGTAATGAGTTTTATATAGTTTCTTGGATTTCAAACAAAGTTCACAAATTTGAAAAAAGTTTTGCAAATTTAAAATTTTCACAAAGTAAAAAATGTCTATGTGTATTTTAAAACATTCATGAATTTGAAAAATATTAATGCATTTGAAAAATGATCATGATTTATGAAAAATTGCATGAATTAAAATGTGAAAAGGAAGAAGAAAATATATAAAAATAACAAGAAAGTAAAAACGAAAAAGGGGTAAGTTAGTAAGGAACAATATTAAAACTTTTAGAGAAAAACACAGAAAGAATAAAAAACTGAATACCAGACAATACTATCCGTAACCTTTTCAAACAAGGAATAACAGTTCACGGTATTACGGTAGATAGATGTGCGTTACTCTCAATCACACTCACCGTCTTACTGGCGAGGCTCAGAATGATCCCACTGGCCTCAATGCTCCACAAGGCTTGAAATTAAGAGAGCCTAATATCTTATACACGTGCATGTTAGTGGCAGAGATATATCTTGGCCTCTCCACCAACGCATCACGGGGCAGCTGGGACGTCTGCCTCGCCAGCTCCACCGACGCAGCTGGGACGTCTCCTAGCTTCGCTAGCTCCACGGACGTAGCTGGGACGTCTCCTTCGCTAGCTGGGACATTTGTGGACACAATAGATACGCAGATGTTTACACGAATAAGCATCATCGGAAAGTCTGAAATAAATCCAGAAAAGGAAAAGATGAGTATGCTGTAGCACCACAAAGAATCTAATCATCCGATCGGTAATTTCTTGTTTAACAGTTGGGGCTCTCACTTGCATTAATTAATTAATTTGATCCAGAATATAATTAAGGTCATCTTGCAGAATTTATGTTTCAACTAGTAATATTGAGCGCCTCATAATTAATGGCACGCAATAGCACATTCTTTTTTGGGCACTAGCACACGTACGTACGTATATAAAAGGATGTGTCGGCTACAGCCAGAACAGCTACAGTAGTAGAGTAAAATAAAAGTGGGCAGCATGAGCATGAGCATGATGCCATTGTCCACGGATGCCTGTGCCACCGCTATTGGCGAGCTTGACATCACCTCGCTTCCACTCGAGACGCGGTTCCCGCCGTTCCCTCTGAGGCAGTACGGCGGGTTCTGGCTGTTGGAGAAGTTCCTCCAGGGCGTTCCGGCCGTTCACTCCGTCTTCGAGCCAAGGTCGTCGGACATCCTCCTCGCCAGCTTTCCCAAGTGCGGCACCACCTGGCTCAAGGCCCTCGCCTTCGCCACGCGCAACCGGGCCGAGCACCCTCTGCGTGGCCTCGACCACCCGCTCCGCCGCCGCAACCCCCACGACATCGTCCAGTACTTGGAGCTGCAGCACGCGCAATCCATGGGCCACGTGGTGGCGGCGCTCCCTTCGCCACGTGTGCTCTCGACACACCTGCCATACTCCCTCCTGCCTCGACGCATCACCACGGAGGAGTCCGCCTGCAGGATCGTCTACATCTGCCGGGACCCCAAGGACGCATTCGTCTCCTCGTGGTTCTTCACCAAGAAGACAGTGGCGGCCGCCGCTGCGAGAGCACGAACCGGCGAGGAGCCGCCGCCGTACATGTTTGAGGAGGCCTTCGAGCTATTCTGTGATGGCATATGTGTCAGTGGCCCGCAGTGGCGCCACGTGCTGGGGTACTGGGAGGCGAGCAGGAGGCAGCCTGAGAAGGTGCTCTTCCTCCGGTACGAGGAGATGCTTCAGAACCCTGAGAGCAACGTGAAGAAGCTGGCGGAGTTCATGGGGTGCGCCTTCTCCGTCGAGGAGGAGGCGACCGGGGTGGTGCAGGACATCGTGGAGCTGTGCAGCCTCGAGAGCCTCAAGAACATGGACGTGAACAAGAGTGGCAGTCATGGTCCGTTGGCGCATGAGTCCTTCTTCAGGAAGGGTGTGGCCGGGGACTGGAGCAACCACATCACGCCGGCCATGGCGGAGAGGCTCGACAAGATCGTCGAGGACGCGCTGCAAGGCTCGGGATTCACCTTTGACGTCGCAGAGCCGTCTGCATGAACGCGTATTTTCTGTTTTTTTTTTCATTTTGTGTGTATGCATGCACTGATGTGAAGTGCCCATGCAGCATGGACGATCTCCTCGTCCCTTTGTTACTCCTAGTAAGTGTGGCACGTTCGTGTGAAGGAGTTGTCGGATGGCGCCATGAGACCAGATCACGACGGGCTACTCTTTTGGTTGTAACGAGAATAAGGGAATGCTCTAGAGAACATAAATGACTAAATTTGCCATCCTTTCCTAGAATAGAAATGGACATGATAGAAAATATTAAAACTTACCATGCGACTACGGCGCAATTGCAAAATTTCCATGCTGTATATTAAACAAAAATGACTGAATTTTCCATCCTTCACATAATAAAATACCATAGAGTAATTATCAAAATTGACATGGTGTATTTAAGAAAAAAAATACCAATGTCAATTTTGGAAAATTTCCATGGTTTTAGAAAAATAAATTGTGCCCGGACCCACCTTAATCGGGCCTGGCATGGCACGGCTCGCTGTGGCACGATTATTAGCCGGGTCGTGTCGTGCCAGCCCACGTGCTATGTCCTCCGGCTATACCTGGACGTGAGCCAACTCGAGCCGGCTCGGGCCGAGCCTGCCCAAAGCTCGCCATTCCTCGGGCCGAGTTGAGCCGAGCTCAATGCTCCGGCGAGCCTCAAAACGGAGCTCGACCCGGGCTTTGCCCTAGCTTGCTGCAGCTTGGCAGGCTCGCCAAGCCTGCGTGCTCCAAGTCACTGCCATGTGGGCCTCCACATGGGTGGTCACCAACGGGAGGCGAGGAAGATGGTGGCGGCGCTCTGATGAAGCTGGGTCGTTGCCGACCGTTTAGGAGGAAGACAACGTGACACTCCTCGTGGACACGTGCGTGCGCCGAGAAGAAGACGGGCGGCGAGGTCGCCGATGGCAAGCAAGACGGTGGCGGGGCTCCTCGTGGACGTAGGCGGGCACCACAAAGAAGGTCCAGAGTGTTGGAATAAGCCACGGCTTGGTGCGGTCGGGCACGTCGGGCGCGACGGATGCGCGCGGGACGTGCGGGATGCACTAATGCAGTCGGGCTCGTCGGGTTCGTCGGGCGCGTCGTTGGTGCGTGGGACGGGTGGGACGGGCGGGGCGCAGCGCAAGTGTGCGTGTGTGTGTGTGTATGGCGTGATGGTACCGTCACGTTAGCTAGCTAGGTGCATTGGCAGTTCCGTTGCCGTCGAACGCGGTGTGCGCGTGGGAGCGCATTGCGTGCGCATGGAGTTAGCTGGTAGTTAGATCGTGGACTCGTTCCCTGCATGCTTGGTCGTGTGGGTCATTCAGTTAGTGGCTAGCATGACGGGCCGGCAACGTATGCGTGAGTCTGCTACTTAAGAGTTGTACTCCCTCCGTCTAGGTGTGTAAGTCACCTTACGAAAACCAAATAATCCCAAAACACTTAGGCACGGTACATTAACTCCCTCCTCGTTTCTTGTTTTGTGACATATCAACCAATAAGAGATGTGGGTTGTGCATGCTTTCAATGACTTGAGACTATCAAACATGACATGCAGTGGTTAGTTCATTGCATGCAATGCTATTAATTAGAAAAAGACATTAAGTTTTTTCGTTTTCCTCTTCGCCTTGGTCGCGGTGCACAACGTAAGATGACTTACACACCTAGACGGAGGGAGTACCATGTTTGCTTGACAGTGCCAGGAGAATAGAAGTGAGAAAAGGCCGAGGCTGTGTGTGCGGCTGGCCACCAAAACTATCTGCTTGTACTCCTTCGTCTACCTCCAGCCATCCGTGTGAGAGAGCGGTTCCAACACAGAGCACGACCGCGATGATGAGGGGAGCGAGCAAGTGGTCGACTCCATCGGCCGCGGTGGCGAGCAGGAAGAGAACGCCGACGAGGTGAAGGACGAAAGGCGGACGAGCGGCAAGCCGGCGTTGGCGTCCGGCATGCTGCAGGCGGCGGCGAGGAAACCCTATGGAGGCTGCTACAGCGACTCTCTCTTTCTCGTATCGTGCGGGTGTGGGGATGTGCATAACTGGGCCAAGGCAGCGTACTGCTATGGGCTTGGGCTGCTTGCTAACTTGCTAAGGGCTGCACTGGGCTGCTCTACCGTGCGAGCCGAGTCAGCCCGAGTCGAGCCTGGCTCGGTTCGAGGTGAAAACGAGCCCAATTGTGCAGCTCGGCTCGGCCTTTTTGTGTTGCGGGCCGAGCCTGACTCGCTCTGAGCCGACGCAAACTCGGGCCGAGCCCAAAAGCTCGAGCTGAGCGTCCAGATTTTCCTCCAGTCCAGGCACGACCGAGCTCATAAACAGGCCGGCACGTGGCACGTTTACCAATGGTAGGCTATATACCTTTTTAGCATGTTAGGCTGTTTTTAGGTATATCGGACTGTATTTTAGAACACACACACACACACATAAACTGGCCATGCGAAGCCAGCCCGCGTGCCCGGCCTCCAAGCCCGTATCATGACTGCCTATTGCGGGCCGTGCCGACGTGCTAGCGGGTTGGCCTGGTTGGCCCGACAGGTTTAGCCAGCTTTGTCGGTAGTGCCTGACATGTGGTTGAATTGATGGAAGGATAATGATATCCCCAATCCAACCAGAGTTCAAGTCCAAGACATTATATTGGTGACCGCATTTTTCTGAATTTATTTCAGGCCTTCCATCGATGTACGTTTAGTGAGAGAAGATGTTCCCGTCAACTAAAAGATGTCTGTGGTGACTTTATCAGTCTCAAGATGATGTGCCGGCTTAGTCGTTCGAAGATGCTCATAGCGGTAGGGTGTATGTGCATGCGTTTATAAGAGTAAGTGTATATGTATATGTATGAGTATCTTCGACAATACTGTGTAAAAAATAGATAAGTTAGGAATGACAAGCGGAAATTACGTTGCCCCAGTCGGGGGCGGACCAGAGGCGGGCGTGATCTGGATCGGAGTAAGCCGCGAATTTGCTGGTGAATCTGGAACCGAGGGATACAAGAGTAAGTGGCAATGAAACCTACGCTGGAGAGGATCCGTTTGGGCTGAGGGAATCATGGATCAAAACAAGGAATGCAGTCTACGCGCTAGAAGCAAAGAGGAAAGCAACCAAATCAAATCACGCCACCGGAGTAGAATCGCCCTGAAAAAGGACGGGGAGGATCAGGGACAAGGTGAGAGCTATGAGATCAGATGTGTCGCTCAGATTATAGGAAGGATATCAGGGCAGGAAAGGGAATGATTTCGGCTTATCCAAGCTGGCCGATCTGCCTGCCGGGGGAGGGGGATTGTGGGATAAATAGGAGGATCTGATTGTGCGAGGATGGGTAGGGGATCAAAATATTCTAAATTCTAGTGATGTATTGGAGGGTATCAACCAGAATTGTGAGGATATAAAAGATCAAGCCGCTGGGAGGCACATCGCACAGAATCCCCTATTGTTCATCCCAAGTGACAAGAAGATAAGCATGGTGGCCCAGGATCCCAACAAGACCAAGGCGGTGCACATTGACTTGGCAAAAGGGATGTTCATTCATTGCTGACAGAATTATGAATATCCATCCTGGACTAATGGGCTGACCCGGCCTGGACCAATGCCCCCTTTTCTACTAGTGCATGTGAAGCATTGATAATGGTGGATCCCACTGACCACAACCATCACCTCAATGCTCCTGATCGCATTTAATAGAAATCTTGAATGCCACTGGACAGATGCCCTGGGCTACATCTTGCTCCACAACCGGCCGTCCTTGGCGATTTTTGTTACAATATAAACTGAGACATGATCATATCATGATTAAGAGTGAAAGAGTCCTCGCAGTATAACCTATTATTGGTTTTCCTGTCCACGACATCAAGCAGGAAGTCGAGTCCAGCATCTTTCATCTCTCACCGTCCGGAGCCACCGCAGCCTGCAGGATTTGGGCAGGCCGTCCGCGGCGGTGGCGGCAGCCTTCGACAACGACCTACAGGGTTTGTGTGGCGTACTCTCCCAAGCCAGACTCGCGAACGGTCGTCACGTACGTGCGTACTATTCCACGGCTCAGATAAAAATAGTAAACGTTCCGGTCCACGGACCAGGAAAATCAGCGCACCGACAGACGTCCAACCATACGTTCCGGGCCCAGTCTTCCCACTGTTTGCGGGCGTATATGCGCCGTATTATCTGTTTCCTATCCTTTTCAGCTGACACACCAGCGGCTGTTTCCCGAATCACGAGAACTGAGCGGACGCCAGCGATTCCGGGTGCAGCTAAGCTCAAGCACAACTGAAACCAATAAAGCATGATTTTAGGAGGACAGGCAAAGTTTTGCAGAACATACCCACATATGGAAGATTAAGGGTACAGCCAAATTCAGTATTTCTTGGAAAAGCTTCAAGCTCATGTAGAACATTGGAGAACACAATTTTTAGAACCATTACTTGGCTAATCCAGTTAGCAGCACAAACACACGATTAATGGTTACATTTTCTCTTGTATAATTAGAGCTTAAGTACAGCAGCCACCTCAACTAGCTGCCGCACAGTTCAAGGGCCTCATTTTGCATCGTCGAAATACAAATGTCCAGATCAATATAGCATCAACCAGCTAGCCACAGTTTACACTTTTTCAGCACAGATAATTAAAAATGTCTCCGTAAAAAGAAAAGGCAAGAATGATCCACCACAATAGAACACTGCACAAATAATTTGCACCACAGATCCAAAGATCAACATGAACAAATGAACAATAATCCACACATCAGTAGATCGTTCACGAGCACAAATTCTATGGGGAAAACGCATGAATGGGTGCAAACCAAAAACTTTCTTGCATTAACAAAAGATTTGCAAGAACGAGATAAAGAAGTACTAGGCTACTAGCAGAGAGAATTAAACTTGGCTTAAGCCATCTCCCGTGTGGAAAACTCACCTGCAGAGAGCAATCGGCATGGAGAACTTGGTGCTCAAGCAGAGAACGTCGGGGGTACATGGTGGTGGGCAACGCCGGAGTGTATGCGGACGACATCTGGATCAGGCTGATTTGGGTATG